CAAGTGATGGGATCAGTTGTATAGTACAGGGTCAACAATGAATAGTTAGGGAAAGAAAAGAAAACCCCCCCCTCCAAGCTGTAACATTACCCCCCTCTCCAGATTTGTCATTAGATTTTCCATTGTGCGTGACATTCTTGCAAGTATCCTGGTTCGTCAGTGGGACAGGAGAGTTATCCTGGTTGAACATCAGCAGTAGTGTGGAAGTTATGGTGAGGATGTAGGCAACCGCAATAAGAGCACAGCCAATGCCAACACTCACTCTGAAGGTGACCATTGGTCTTGCATTTAGTACAGAAGCGAAGATGGCAGGGCATAGCACCAGGAGGAGTGATGATAGAGAATTTGTGTTGCTCAAGATGTTCCTCCAAGTTGGCAGCTCTGAGACAAGCTCGACACTGGTCCATCTCCTGTTGGGCACAAATGAGCTCAGCCCCTACCAATCGTTGCACTGCCAGTAGTAAGTCTATTTTGGCGTCAACAGCCCTGAAGCGGTTGACTTCATCAGTCACCCCAAGATCCTTGATGTCTTGTAGTGAAGCTCAAAGACTTTCCAACAGATTATCATCCCGCATCAGCAAGTACTCCCAAGTATCCTCTTCCCATTCCTTGTCCAAAAGGTTCCAATTTCCTACAGGCTCAGTGACTTGGAGCACATCGGCTGCAGTTGTCGATACTCATCATAGTCCAAAGGCAGGATTTCCATAGATGGGAATGCCCATAGGAGGTTGAGTAACAGTGGTAGTGTATGCTCTAGGGAAGTAAGGTAGCACGCATTCCAAGGGGTTGACATCTTGAACTGGGGTGGAGGTGTCAAAGGGGATGGCCCACCAATACCGAGTGACATCATTGGAGGGTCACTGGATGACGTCATCGCTGTAAACTATAAATTCCTGGGGATCGCTGCTGTGTCCTTCCAATGTCGTGACATATTTGCTGACATTGGCTAGTAGCCATAGGTTAGGAGCATGATCAAGGCTACCATCATCTGAGATGTCAGAGGCGAGAAGTGGCATACTGGGGGAATCAGTGGATGCAGCAAGGGGACTGTCAGGGTTTGGGGACGACAAGGTATTCATAGGTGACGAGGATGGAAATACCTGAGCAGGAGCGACGTGGTAAGATCTGGTCGTTGCTTCTGAGGCCTGAGGGAGTTCTAGGGGTCCAGGAAACAGGTGCAAGACTATAGCATCACTATTTGAGGAGTCCAGGGGTCCGGGGATGAGGAAAGGATGGCGAGTGGCATTTGGGAAGGGGGATGTAAACAGATAACAGAAGCCTCCTTTATCAAGAAATTCAAGAGAAGAATCATCAGATTCTTGCTGGGAAGGGAAGCTCAAAATGGGATGCCTGGGAACTGGCATCTCTATTACTCCAGCTGTGAAACGCTCTTCTAAAGTTTGGATGTGGGAAGGGAAAGGGGTTGCTGCTCTCTGGGGACCAGCAGTTGGAGAATTATTGTGCCTAGGAGCCAAAGGGCAATGACGTGGGTCCAGATTAGAAGTTTCATTGTTATTTCTGGTGCGGTTGTTGCACTCAGCAGGCATAGAGAAGACACAGGAAAGGAGTTTTCTTGAAAAGGCTAGGCACAGAATACAAAGAGCAGCCAGTACTACAGACAAAATGACCCCCCAGACACTAATCTTGATGCTCTCTTATGTACTCAAAGTAAACCTGGGTGGGGTTATTTGAGTCACGATTGGTGGCTATGATGGGGAGGTTAGTGGTGGTATGCAGGAGGGGGCGCTGGGCAGTGGCCGCGATATTGAAGGCCCACTGGTGTTCCTTCTCAAGGTGGCGGAGCGTGAGACAAAGGGTGAGGGGGACGGTGAGAGCGAGGGCGAGGACAGATAGGAGGGTGGTGAGGAAGAAGCCCAGAAGGGCTAGAAGGAGGAGGTGGGGGTGCTTGTCAATGACAGTGAGGGTGGTGGCGGTGACGGGAGCGAGTTGGTTCACCACTAAGTAAATCAGTAAAGGGGGTCGGAGTTAATTCAGCAAGGGACATTACTTGTACTCCTGTCAGCTACTCGGGGGTTAGGTCAGCAACGGGGGTGGTTGGTCAGCGGGTGAGGATGATTTCAACCTTGTAGGTCTCTTTGAAGTAGAGGAAGGTGAGGGTGAGAGTGAGGATGAGGAGTGCGAATAGAAACCAGGTGAGGGTGAGGAGTGCAGCGAGGACAGCGATAGATGCCATTTGAGGAAAGCAGGGGGATACCGTTCTTATAAGGAATCATCCTTTGTTTGGTTGCAGAAAGTCTGCCAAAGCATCTTTGGCATGTGAAAGTTCAGTTTTTGGTAACCAGGAATCATCCAATGCTGGGTATCCTTTCCATCATACCTGGTACAGTGTTTGCTTGCCAACAGTCTTTGGATCAATGATATGTTCAATTTCAAACTCCTCTTGGTTCTTGATTAGCTCCAGTGGAGGTCGGAGATAGTTCTTCCCATGCATTGTGGTTTCCAAATAAGGGTAGAGTAATCCTGCATGGAATGTAGGATGAATCTTCCATTTGGGCGGTAACTTCAGCTGGTACACCACTGATGACAGTTTCTGATCGATGGTGAATGGTCCATAGCGCTTGGGTCCAAGTTTGGCTTTTGGGTGGAGGCCTTTGAGGTTAGTGGCTTCTAGCCATACCTTCTGACCAGGTGTGTACTCGACAAACTTGTCCTTGTTTTGTTTCTTGATTGTTTCCTCTGCTAGTCAAATACTGGATTAGATTTCAGTTCAAAGATGTGCTAGCTGGGTGAGTCTAGAAGCAATGTCTGGAGCATCAGTTGTTCCCACAGTGGGAATGTTGTGCCAAGGTTGGTAACCCATGAGCGCTTGAAAGGGAGTTGTTTTGATCACATCATGATACCTATTATTGTGCGCAAATTCTGCTAGTGGCAGGTGACTTGTCCAGTCAGTTGCTTGGTGATTACAAAAGATCCAAAGATACAATTCCAGGTCCTGGTTGACACACTCCAACTGTCCATCAGTCTGCAGATGGAATGTGCTAGAGATGTTCTGTTTGATGCCTAATTTGGTGCACAATTCCCTGAACATTTGTGATGCAAATTGTGGTCCTCTGTCACAGATAGCTTTGACAGGCAGTCCAAATCGTCGGAAAATGTGGTTCTGATACAGGGTAGCTGTTTCGGATGCTGTGACGGTCTTGTTGCAGGGAATGAATACTGATGCTTTGGTACAGTCATGATTGGTGATTACTAGACAGCTGTCAAAGCCGTTGCTTCGAGGAAGATCTGTGATGAAGTCCATGGCAATGGATTAGAATGGGAGGTGATGTTCTGTTGAGATGGGTACTAGATCCAGGGAGTTCCTATGTGTGATGACCTTATTTTCTTGGCAAGTTGTGCAACCAGTGACATATTCACTGACATCACACACAAGAGTGGGCCACCAATAGGTTCTTTGCAAGATCTCCTGAGTCTTGTATCACCCAGGGTGTCCTGTGGTAGGGGAATCGTGGGCTTCCTGGATGAGATCTTGTCAAAGTTTGGTATCCTTGGGTATGTAGACTTGTCCTCTGAATACTAGTAAGTCATCTTGAATGTCCCAGTTAGGAGGAGTACACTTGTCTGTGGAAGAAGTGTGTTGTAATATCAGCCGAAGTCTGTGATTGGCGATGCTGTCCTTGGTTTTGCAGGTCAAGATGCATTGTTTGATGTCGGTGTTGACAGGTTCGAGGTTCTGAATGGCTTGAATGAAGACTTCTGATGGAAGAAGGACTTCTTCCTCAGGAAGTTCACCCCCCCCCTTCAGACACATCTTGATCAATACGTGATAGTGCATCCACCTTACCCAACTGGGCCCCAGGAACATGGCAAAGGCAGTAATTGAACATGGATAGATACAGTGCCCATCTCACTTGTTGAGGATTCAATTTCTTGTTGAGACCAAGACGAAAGGATGGTCTGCCAGAAGCTCAATAATGTG